CTATACCAGTAACGCTTAGGAAGACTTGACGTTGGGCGGTATCCTCCTACAGTAGTATATATGAATGAAACACCACTTACAGATGTCCAGAAGTTATGGAGAAGCATTTACACCACTGACATGATAAAACAGATCACTGACACTTGTAGCTGCCATTGACTGACTAACTGATGATGGCCAATGCCTCCCCGAATGATGAATACTCTCACAGATTGCACAATGAACAATTTCTTTAATATTTGTACCACACTGTATATTTCAACGTTCTTTATTTTGGAGGGTTTTATTTTGGCGGTTATAAAACCATTTTAAGTTAGGTTAGGTTAGGTTTATACTGAACTGATGATGAAATGTCTTAGAACCACTTGAATGTAGTATAATACAGTAGCCTGTACCTAAACCCACACAAAACAATATACGCTAAAACCAATCCACCTCTTGGGAGGGGGAGGGGGGGTTCATTGCTCATTCCAAGAACATTAATTACGCTCTTATTACCATGCAACTACAGTACTTCATAATTACCATTAACTCCATCCTTACCAACCACTAATCCATCATCTTTCCCCGTAAAAATCAAGTCACTCCATCTTATTTAAGCCACCCTAATCCTTCATATCCATTTATACCATTCCTTTCCTTCAAAATTAAAAAGCCACTTTTTTCAAACAACTAAGCCATCCCTTCCTTCAAAACAACAAGCCACCCTCTTCCTTCAGAATAGAAAAATCATCATTCTTCATTCAGAATCAGTATGCCAACCTCCATTAACAATGAAAAAGCCACCTTCTTCTTCCAGAGAGAAAGAGCCAACCTTTCTTCAACACTAATAGCCACCCTCTGCCTTCACAACTATCCTCTTCTGAACCACAAAGCCCTACCCACTTCCTCCAAGCCACCTCACTCTTCATTTTAATAATCAAGCCAACTTATCTTTCACACTCTTTTTATTCCTCGGACATTATGTGAGAAAGAGCTAATGGTGTGCTGGAAGCTTCTTAAGTACAGTCGTATGGTGATATACATTAAAGTCCAGACCATGTAAACAGAAGCAACTATTAGCCCTTATTATCCTCCCCAAAATGGCAATCGTCAATATGCGTATCGTCTCAAACAGTGTCTAGGTTATATTAGAGATATTTATGATATATATTTTGGATAGGGTAAGGCTATTGCATGGAGAGGAGACGTGGAGGTGGTGATGATGGCATTAGAGGACGTGTATGAATGTGGTGGCAGGATAGGGTTGGTGAATGCCCAGGGTATCAGGTGTAGGTGGGAATTGGAAGGAGGAAGGCAAGGTTTCAGATTTGCCTCATGCAGCGTGGCAGCTAGTTTATTGGGCATCCCCTCACATCTTATGCTCGGTGAAGTGCAAAAGGATTGCAGCAACCATCAAGGAAGCATGCAGAGGCAATGTAGGCTTTCTCAAGGGAGACTGATCTTTGGTGCCACTCAAACATATCTTTTCATTATAATAACCGTGAGGTAAACATAACCCAGTGGAGTGAAAGGTCTGGACGGACAAAAAGATAAAATAAAAAGAATAGTTTTTGAGGCAGGAGGGCAGTGGATGAATGCAGGTGACAAGCGAGAGGTCTGGAAATGCAGCAACAACAGTGGTACACATGAAGGCCACCACACTAGCCGCCGCTGTCACTAACAAATATCCTCCTACACACACACTCTTATCACACTGTATTAATTCAATAAAGCTGTACTCAAGAGCTATAATACTGTCATAACATTTGCATGAAGGAACACTGGACCAAAACTCAATCAATTGACAACAGCTCCATATAAGGTAGATGCTTGGCAGATAAATCCCTAAAACAAACGATGCAACACAATGTAAGGGAAACCTGAGAAATGCATGCATACTATAAGGGCTATGTGGGGTGGCTGGCAGGAGTGAATGCAGTAGGATAGGTGGGTGGCTGGCTACCATGCCTAGCCACTCCGCACAATAAAGCACCACCCTGGCATTACTCACCTGTATCACACCAACGATCAACTAGTTCCTGACACAAGCTTTACCCATTTTGCTTATCTTTCTATGATGAAATGTTTCACTCAATTTTCATAACTTTTTGCAAATTGATAATTGTAATTAATCTATCAACCAAAATCCGAATTCATTAGCACAATACCAGTGTACAACAAGAACAACTGGATTACCAGTGTACAACAAGAACGACTGGATTAATGATATGACAAACATTATGGATGAATGACACCCAAACATGGTACAATGTAACTACAACTGACCAACTGCCAACAAAAAGCAGGATATAGCTTATTTTACCATGAAAAGTAATCCCCTGGAGTGGATGAGAGAACTTATTTGGCCATCGAGGAGGTGGCTGGAGTTACGACACAATACCTGACAAACACCCTGTGACCCGCCCCGCTTCGCTCACCCTCGTGGCTGTCACCTCATTGTCTCCTGACTTGCTGTAGACTTGTAAGCTTCATACTCCCTCAGAACCCCCAAACTTATTCAGTAATGTACGAATGGCGAGAATCGTACATGAAGGCGAAAAGGTTACCACCGAGTGTGTACATGAAACAAACATTCTGCTTTGTCATGGCTGAGCTTTTAACCATTACCTGTATTTACAGTTTGATGTCCAAGTATTTCATTTAAGGCATACATTTGTGTGCAATGTTTTTCTATGTGTTTTCGTGTCCTCTGTTTGTGGAGGTACGTAAATATTTAGATATATACAAGTATTTACGAAAAATGGTGTGTGAAGAAAAAATATTTATGATAAATGTAATTGGTATTTTCATCATTCCTAAATTACATCTGGCTGCATGTTATCTATTTTTTCATCAGAAACTTAGATAGTCGCTGTCCTTAGTTGCAGACTGCCTTAGGAAGTTACAAAGCAGTGGTTGGTGTCATGTACCAAGTAAGGTGGACTCATCGATACAACTACCAGCTCCCCTAAACAGGTTAGAGCCAAATCCATACTTCCCTCCTACACAGTACACCTTGTTTGTACACACAGAGTCTTACATGGTGGGACTGCCCAGTATGGGCCAATAGGCATGCTGCAGTTTCCTCTATTCTTCTGTTCTTTGTTCCTGAGGTCAAGAGGGATGTGCAGTACTACACTTCTCTGATTAAGACATATATTTCTTTATCTCGGTGGTCCCTTAAGGCTTAATACTGTGTTACGTAATATGTGAAGCCAAATTACAGTATTTAAACAATACATCAATATTATTACTGAAACTACCAACTTTTTTCTTTTCTTTTTTTGAACAGCCACAATGCACCTTTCAATGGCACCTATCGATTATTTGACCTTAAACCAGCATGCATGTACCACTAAGTGTGGGCAACGGGGGAAAATGAATGCCAGCATTTCCGCCCTTACATAAAAGACATACCAAAATGATACTTAGCTGTTGTTACTGTTGCTCTCTCTTAATCCTTGCCTTAGCTGCTGTTACTCTCTGTTAATCCTTGCCTTAGCTGCTGTTACTCTCTGTTAATACTTGCCTTAGCTGCTGTTACTGTTGCTCTCTGTTAATCCTTGCCTAAGCTGCTGTTACTCTGTTAATCCTTGCCTTAGCTGCTGTTACTGTTGCTCTCTGTTAATCCTTGCCTTAGCTGCAGTTACTATTGCTCTCTGTTAATCCTTGCCTTAGCTGCTGTTACTGTTGCTCTCTGTTAATCCTTGCCTTAGCTGCTGTTACTGTTGCTCTCTGTTAATCCTTGCCTTAGCTGCTGTTACTATTGCTCTCTGTTAATCCTTGCCTTAGCTGTTGTTACTGTTGCTCTCTGTTAATCCTTGCCTTAGCTGCTGTTACTGCTGCTCTGTTAATCCTTGCCTTAGCTGTTGTTACTGTTACTCTCTCTTAATCCTTGCCTTAGCTGCTGTTACTGTTGCTCTGTTAATCCTAGACTTAGCTGTTGTTACTGTTACTCTCTCTTAATCCTTGCCTCAGCTGTTGTTACTGTTGCTCTCTGTTAATCCTTGCCTTAGCTGCTGTTACTGTTGCTCTCTTAATCCTTGCCTCAGCTGTTGTTACTGTTGCTCTCTGTTAATCCTTGTCTTAGCTGTTGTTACTGTTGCTCTCTTAATCCTTGCCTTAGCTGCTGTTACTGTTGCTCTCTGTTAATCCTTGCCTTAGCTGTTGTTACTGTTGCTCTCTTAATCCTTGCCTCAGCTGTTGTTACTGTTTATCAATCTTACCTTTGTGGTGTGCATCTGGCCTTACTGGATCACTTACAACGCACTTTACTGAACCTCTTGTAACACAATTTACTGACTCCTACAACACAAATTACTGAACCCTTTAAAACACTTCACTGAACCTCTTAAACACACTTTACTGAACCCCATAAAACACACACTTTACTGAACCCCTTATTGCACACACTTTATTGAACCCCTCAAACACACATTTTACCAAACCCCTTAAAACACACTTTACCAAACTCCTTAAAACACACTTTACTGAACCCCTTAAATACACTTTACTGAACCTCTTACAACACACACTTTACTGAATCCCTTACAACACACACTTTACTGAACCCCTTAAAATACACTTGATACTATCTTCCCGTAGTGCCGACACGTACGTTGAAAATCCTAACGTCTTCCCAATGTTCAGACAATCATCCCTGACCTCACTTGGGGGAACACATGATGGTATAAAAGTTCACAGTAAGCTAGGAGGAGTGGAAGGTAGATGGAGGAGGAAGGGGATGGAAAAAGAAGGAGGTGGAGAGGAAGGGAGAGGGGGTAGGGAGGAAGGGAGAAGGGGTGGGGAGGAAGGGAGAGGGGGTGGGGAGGAAGGAGAGGGGGTGGGGAGGAATGGAGAGGGTGGAGAGAAGGAGAGAGGTGGGAAGGAAGGAGAGGGAGGTGGGGAGGAGGAAGGGAGAGGAGGAGGAAGAGGAAAAGGAAAAGAGGGGTGGGACAGAAGAGAGTGGGTGGGGAGGGAGGGAGGAGGCCTTGAGTGGCGATAAGGAACAAGGAGAGGTCGGGCCATAAAGAGGCTACACTTGGCCATATGGGTAAAAAAGCAAGGCCAACAGAAAGATACATTCAGCCACACCGGAAGTGAGAGGGGCCATGAGAGGGCCTACTTTGTCCATGCGATTAAAGGAGTGTGGCCCCATGAGGATGAATGACTATTAATGAGTGTGGCCACAGAGAGAAAAGCATGGCCATACACGAAGAGTAACCGTATAAGAACCGACTGTGGCCACGAGGAGATGAACATGACCATACGAAGAAGATGAAAATGAAAACACCAAGAGCTCGGCCGCTGGGATATGAACATGGCCATAGGAGAATGAAAATGGACACACGAGGATGAAAATGGCCAGAGAGAGAGACAGAAGCTTGTCTATATGGATGAGTGTGTGTCGACGCTGAGGATGCACATGCTCGGGTGGTAGCCACATAAGAATGAGCACAGCTACACGTAGGTGGGTGGGGGAGCGAGGCCACATGGAGGGAGGAACTGGGGTAGAGGGGCAGCAGCAGTAAGGTGAGTGGCTGGCCGTGTGGAGGGTCAAGGCCGCCCTGTACCTCGCCTACACACAGTCCTCCATGCTCATCAACAGGGGGTTCACGTACTCGAACCCCTCAAACTCGCTCTGGTCAATGTTCTCGATGGCGCGCCTGAAAAACAAAACAAAACGCCAAAGTTATTAAACCAGGAATAATATAAATTCGACCCTCGTTGATGCCATCACATACACACACACACACACACACACACACACACACACACACACACACACACAGCTGCTAACTCATCAAAATCTCTCTCTCTCTCTCTCCCCATTTATTCATCCATCTACCAACTTATTATCATCACTTCCCTCACTCTTATTTAGGGGGATGAATCTAAGGGGGACAGTGGCATTATAGGGGAATGGTAGAGGAAGGAACATCAAAGAAAACGGAATAAAACAATGGGTAACCAAAGAAAAAAACTCGATGAAAATGGGGAAAGAAAAATGGGGGAGTAACACCTAAACCTCACGAGGATAAAATAATAAGGGTAAACAGAAGAGAGAAACTATTAAGTAAACAATGGGGTGATACATGAAATTTCACACAGAAGGAGGTGGGGGTGATATAATAGGGGGTATACAATAGGGGGGACATAATAGGGGTGATATATTAGGGGTGCCATAATAGGGGTAGATATATTAGGGGATATAATAGATATAATAGGGGTGATATAATAGGGGTAGATATATTAGGGGTGATATAATAGGGGTAGATATATTAGGGGTGATATAATAGGGGTGATATAATAGGGGGGACATAATAGGGGTTCATAAAATACTCTTATATTAAAAGTGTATCAAAATAAAGACACACACACACACAAGAACACCAAATGCACACACACAACATTGGGGACTAGGTATGATGACCAGGCTTATCACACACACACACACAGAAGGAGGGGGGGTTACCTTGAGACATACCTGGAGGTGGGGATCGTGGGGAGAGAGGAGGGGGTGGCGTTCACTGGTCCACCTGCGTCCTTGTAGTGGTGGTGGTGGTGCTGCATATACTCACCTTAAGACATGCACTTACCCTCTACCTACCTCTATATATATATATGTCTGTCAAACGACCCATAATATATACCACTAAGAGGAAAGGGTGGGTGTAAGGAGGTAGGGAAGGAAAGGGGAAGAAGTGAGGTGGGGAATAAGTAAGGAATGTGGGAGAGGAGGAAGAGAAGGTATGTGGCAGTGGACCAGGAATGTGGGAGAGGAGACAGAGAAGGAATGTGGGAAGGGAGGAAGAGGAAGGAGGTGGCAGAGGATGAAGAGAAGGAAGGAGGAGAAGGACCAGGAGATAGTGGTTTATCAGGAGGGGGGGGAGGAAGAGATCAGAGTAATGGAAACCAATTCACCTCCCCTTCAGCAGTACACGGCGAGCTAAACCACCACATCACCCTCGAACCACACACCTGACGTGACCTTGCTTATACCACGAATAACACCATTGCCAGTAATGTACCATCTCTAAAAAAAAAAAAGACCAACCCTCCCCCTCATCCATGACGGCCACATCATTAAGGTAATACGCTGGAGGTGAGACTGCGTTTTCCGTTAAACACGAGGATCACGAGCCTTGTTATTGGTCTCCCGCCTACACAGTGCTGTTTGATATCCGACAAAACATAGGCTTTAGAAACACAGATGAATCAGACAAAAAAAACCTTATTAGATCTAATATTGTTTAAAAGGGTCAAGGTACAAGTATGTTAACAGTAATCTATTTCATCTAAAATCTTTGTTGGTTCAGCGGAGGTTTGTTTCAGTTCACCACAACACCACGGGGACACAAGCAATGGCATGAGAGGGAGTGGGAGGGGAGGGGAGCTCCTACATTCACATACTGTACTGTAATATCATAATTTCACCCTTAAATTTAACCCCAGTATATTGAAACAAGTTATGACATTTGGTGACACTTCAATTTATATACAGGTACAGTATAGTATAATAAAAATGAATGCACCAGTACTAGCATTTAACTTATATCCACCAATGATTGTTTTGAACTGTTCACATTCTTATTGTTTATCGAATCAGCCAATCAGATGCTTATTCTTATACAAACAATATTCTACTATTTTATTGTTGGCCAGAAAAACAACCATACTTCTCCTACAAATGCCACACACACATACTGTACAAATCTATTTTCTTCCAAGCAACTTTATAAAATAATATCTGAAGTGCAATTAAACAACAGTGATAAACTCTACTGCTTCAATATAGATGACAAATAACTCCAGCTGACCTTGTGTGTTGTTATTGTAATATACAACCAGGTAAATGGTAAAGTAACGTTTTTACACACACAAAAAAGAAGTATACAGTATATATAGATAGATGTTCGTGTGTGTGTGTGTGTGTGTGTGTGTGTAACTGGTGGCAGAAGTGGTGTTTGCTGTACCTGCATCGGCACCCGTTCATCGTCGCCATAGCAACTCTCAACTGCAACCTCCTCACACACTCAAAAGGAAAAGCAATGGTGCCTGTATCCCCTGTCACTTTATTGTGGATGGAGAGGAGAGGGGATAAAAGAAGGAAAAAGTAAGGATTAAGTTAAAGAATGGAAGAAGAAGGCAAAGAAAGTGAAGAAAAGAAGCAAGAGGAGGAAGGAAACATAATCAGGAGTGAAGAATATTAGAAAATAGGAACTATTTTTGCAAATAAGAGGGGAAGAAGAGAGGGGAAAGGAAAACACAAATATAAATGAACTGAGAGAGAGAGAGAAAAGAGACAGGGAAGGGAAAGGTAAAAAAACACTTGGGAGACTGTAGAATTAGAAGAAAAACAAGAGAATTGAGGAAGAATATGACACGTCCTCTTCTCCAGACCACAAAAGACATGAGAGACGAAAATGAGAACCACTTGAAGAGGACACTGAGACAGCCAGGAGCAGTTCTCTCCCAACCTCATATAGTGATGGCAGGAGTAATGTCAGAGTTGGAAGTGGTTTAACGTGATTCTGAAGTCAATTTTGTTGCACATGAAACAAACACATGTGCAGTTACTGATACTGTATTGTACTGTATGTACATTTCATTTTGACTAACGATGGGGAATCTTACCAAATTTAAATTAATTTCCAAACGACTTCACTTCGTGAAATTTTAATAAACATTGAAAGGAAGTACAGTAGTGTATAATATACTATATGTATGTATAAATCAACATGTATCAACTTAATTCTGATCATTATTTACAGTACGTAGTCTTGTGGTTACAGATGAAATTCAGGTCAGAAATACAAATGTGTCGCAATGCTAGTGCTGCCCTGATGCTAGCTGGGTGAGAGATGAGATCAGGTACATGTTACTATAGGAACCTTTGGCATAGTTACACAGTTCCTCCCTCCTTCCCCCTCTGTCTCTCTTTCCCTCCCTCTCTAACATTCATCATTTCTCTCTAATCTTCTCTTTCTCCTTCTCTCACAAACATTTCTCTATCTTTCCTCTCACAAATAATGTAACTCACTCATAAATAAAATATTCTCCTTTCTCTACTCAACCCTTTCACTATGGGGATGCCACTTTTATTGTTTTACTTGGATAATGCCAGATGGTTTTATTCAGCTCAGAGGGGAGGGCCCGTACACAAGGGGTTAATGTACTGCTGCGCCTTACCCTCTCCCCTTATCCTTATCCATGTACACCCCCTTTGGCATTACTATCCTCTCATCATCCTTCCCCATCCACATGGTACCACCACCTCGAGAGTATTTCTATTCATCTACGTCAGGGGTCACCAAACTTTTTTCACAGTGGGCCGGATAACTGAAAGAATGACGAGCGCGGGCCACATAATCATTCTGTTCAATACTTGCAAGCCAGAACGAAAGCTCTGGTAATGTCAGAGCGTAGGCGGAGCTACCACGAGCCGGGGAAGGACTTGGGATCTGGCCCGCGGGCCGTAGTTTGGTGACCCCTGATCTACGTCATGACTCCATAATTCACACCAACAGCTTACCTCACTCAACCATGCCAAACCTCCCACATGCTTCATTACTTCTCTATGACCCTCTTCCATTCTATTACAGTACTATCAAATGCAACACTCAGGTCGCTCAATTCTCTGGCCTCAACTTCTAAAAACTCTCCTTCAACTCGGGTTAATATTGCAGTACAGTTCCACAGGTCAAGGTAAAAAAAAATTATACCAACCCCCAATTCTTTTTCATTTTAACCTCTTGTGTATGGGTTCCTCCTATGAGCTGAATAAAATCCCTCTGGTGTGAGCCAAAAGACGTTCCCGCAGCAAATGCGCTAATCTTTCATTCCTTCCCTCACTAATACTTCCTTATTCGTCAATTCCTCTTCTCCTGTGTATTATTTCATCCCTAATTTCACTCTCCCATCATAAATTTGTACACAGCCTCAGTCTTAAATATTTGATCTTCCTAACTTCATCCAATGCTTAATTTTTCAGTCACATTCTTCACTTCCTATATTCTGCATTGTTGACTAAAATCCACAATGTTATTATCAAATACCATTACCTTATTTTCCCTCCAGAATTTATTATATTTCTTCTATCACAATCTGACAAAAAACATTCCCAACCCTATCCAACATCCATTCAGAATTATCGGCCCAAAATACGATGTTCCACCCATGTTGGCAGGTTATTACAATTCAGTTATAGTCTTGTTTCACTCATCTTCACCTTCCTCACCACTCCATCCACCTATATGCTGAACAATCATGGAGGTATTACACACCCATTTCACTTTCTCTCTCACTTCCAAGCTCTTCAAAGTCCTTCATTTATTCTTTGACATGCCATACTTTTCTCTCACAAACCCAAGTAGGTTTTTTTTAATGACTCTACAGCTCCTCATCAATAACCAAAATGTCTTCTGTCTACTCTGTTACATGCTTTCACCAAAATACTGTACATAAACATGCAGTCTCTTATTTTTACCTCGCTCCAAAAGGGGTTTGCAAGGTATTAGAAAGTCCCTGTCATGTTGAATTAGATTCCTCATACACTCACACACAGGTTCATAGACACACCATAATCACACACACACAAAAGTAACCTTGACATTTTTCTCTATGACATTTAGATTTGTCCAGAAGATAAAAACTTCATCAGTGAAAGATATGTGATACCGTACAGTGCTCTAAAATTTATAAAGCACAGAAATACAGTACAGTATAGTATTTGAACTGTCCCTACTTTTCCTGAATATTTGTTACATCAATACTGTACACCCACCCAGATGACCACAACTCTTTATTTTTCTTGTGGTAACCCTGATACAGTACAGTTGGGCAATGTTTGTCTGTACAGTTGATAGGACTTTAGGACAACAAACTCGAACCTTCTTAACGGTTCAGCTGTCATAAAAGTGACCCAGGTAACGCCCCAAAAACATAAAACGTGTAAATAACGATGCTGAGTTGACAGAGACAATACTGGCAATGGTGTTATTTCATGGTTCACCGTATCTTATGCTAAGAGCATTCTTCCCCTAGCACTAAAATAAACCAAAAGATAAATAAATTAAAGAAGGTACTTACGCATCATCAGGGGTTAGCTGAATAGGCTCATCTGTAAATTCTGGTGGGAAGTTTGCCAGATCACGGTCAGAGTCTAGCCTGGGGCGATATGGCGGGGGTACCTGTCGCTGCTGCAACTGTAACAACAACAAAGCAAACATACACAACCACTGCTTCTCACATTCGCACAACTCTGCCATTATGTACAAGACACCAACTTTGAAAACTTTTACAGTATGTAATACAGTACTAAGCCAACACAGTTTATGAGTTGCACTCTATAGAAATAAGTTGCCTTGGTATGCACCACATCACACATCTCCTAATGAGAAGAAAGTGCAGGCACAATATTAAGCTCAAAGCCAGATAAATCTTGAGGCAGTCTATCACCATACCGTCTAGTAGCAAATGTTACACAGCCACTTGCAATACAGTACAAAATTACCTGAAATAAATTAGTGGGAAACTAACTCTACTGCAAATACTTCTGCTTGTCTGTAATAAAGCCAAATTAAGACAGCATACACTAACAAACACAACACAAACAACAGATAACAGACATGGACTGCTACAACAGCTACAAGTGAGTAAAACTGGAATGTAAGTTAGGGGTTAGCTTTGTGATAAATTAGCTTCCTAGCATCCAAGATCATTCTGAAACTTTTTTTTTTTTTTACATCAGGTTTCTATCTATAATATCGTTTGCATTATAACAAGACAACACTGAACAAAGTTATAGATATTATACTTTATTTTAGTACCTCAGGAAACTATGAAGAATAATGCCATTCTTTAAGGCTTCAAAGAGTTTAATTTCTCACCATCTTATTCATCAATTACTCATCTTTATTCTCATCGCCATGATGATGAACACAAGAGAATTAACCCCTTCTCTATAGGGACGTCACTTTCGATATTTTATTTGGCCAACGATTGAGGATTTTATTCAGGTCAGAGGGGGCCGTATACACAAGGAGCTAAAATTAATAATATCACTGTTCATAGTTCTGTACAGTATTACTATGAACAAAATTTACAGTAGACTAACTCTCCTTCTAGTAAACACTTGGTAAACAGTATATTAACTTGTATTTTGGATTGCTAAAATATGCCAATAATTTCTGCCTTCTTAAAACATATTAGCACAGTCATTGAAGAGAATCCTGTCAGTCCTCCATCCCATCCATGAGCCCTGAGATTCATGAACCTGTGAATCCAAGACAGTGTTGTGTTCATAGATGGTGCACTGTGTGATGTCTTGGGTTCACAGGTCCACGAGTCTCAGTGCTCATGGGTGGGACAGAGGACTGACAGGACTCTTCCGTGCCTGTACACCCTTTTAATCGTCTAGTACTAAATTTTCTATCAATTTTCTAGTACTGCTGTGAATATTACGCGACAAAAATACAAATATATCCAGGGTGATATCCACAGATCTAATAACATTACAACTATCATAAGAAACTTCTTACTAATTAATATTTTCTTTGAGTGAAGACTAATGATCTTGAAGCTACTGTATATATTTAACTTTCTTTAATAATCAGCAGGCAAGCATAATTAATAAAAATTTCATCTTCATGCAGTCTTGTATCAGAGGGCACTATACTACCCAACTACTGTACTTAACAAACAACTTTAACCTCTATAAACAATTAGAAACCAGTAACTAACTTACAGGGCATTTCAGATCATGACATATTGGACATATACTGTATCCAAACAAAACTGTCTAAATGTCTAAGAGGAGCAGCATGCACAAAACATGCAACCAAAATAAGGATACAAGTGTTTGTGTATTGAGGATAACTGTGATAAATTTTCTACTGTCACAATCAGATCACCTCTTTATTCCAAATTACCGTTAATCCTACGTATTCAAACTTCCTTTAAGTAAACTACAGACTGCTGGGGATTCTGACGGACGGGTTAAGATCACGGCACACCTAAGCTACCACATAATGACAGCAACTGTTCATATGCTGCTACTAACCTGACACAAGATACTGAAACTGTCAACTTCGTCTTCCCATAGTCTTATCATAGAACTACCAATCAACCACCAAATTATCATAATAAACTCTGTAATGCTATCTTTATCCATGATAATACTTTACTAAATTTTAAATTCTTTTGTACATCTGTATGCACTTACACCTGATACAGTGGCTAGCATGTTTTGTGAGATGTGGCAATTTTGTGCTTGTTTACCTCATTTTAAAACTCCCAGAATGGCCCTTAGGAACCTTCCAATAGAAACCACACTAAGGATACTAGATAAGCATTCCACCCAGTTGCCACATTTCACAAGATGCACCAGCCACTGTACCAGGTATACTGTAAGTGCAGTCAAATTTACATCCTATATGAGTTCTGTAATCCTTAAAATAGTATAAGTTTATCACAAGAAAACTTACTGAAGACCATTATTTTAACATTCAAAGAAAGTTTAATGATTATGAATTATTAGTGATTATAAATAGGTAAGAGTTGATGAGTGCATTTAATACATTAATACATAAGAATACTCTGAAGCACTGCAGGTGTGAGTATCTTAGTGTGGCTGCAAGACATCGACAAGGCAGGCAGGCAGGTTAGCTCCTCATCTGCAACACTATCACTGAGGTTAAGTTAGATATACAGTACAGTACAGAGAAGGCAGAATAGAAGTTCAGGAGAGTGTGGATCAAATTCTAATGGCTTACTAAGACAACACTCAGTATGGCTGTATATACAACAACCTTGCAAAGAATTTCAACATTGGGTCCCATACTTGTTCCAACAGAAACTACCGGACAACACCACAGTTTACAATCGATCACACTCAGTCAGTTCCATGTCCTCTTACACTCTTCTCCAGCCAGCCTGGCCATCATTCCAACCCTAGGAATTTTGGGTGGGGATGGGGGAGGTCAAGAGGTGGGTGTTTGACTTACTGATCATCTGGAGTAAACTGTACAGGCTCAGCTGTAAACTGAGGGTCAAAGTTTTCAAGGTCTCTTTCTCCATCTACCCGTGGCTTGTATGGTGGTGGAATCTGTTTCCTTTCCAGCTGAAAATAACCATTCCACTGGGTGAGAACAACTGATAAAATAGTAATGATGAGAAGTAAATGTTGTCACCAGCTCACACCTACAAAATCTATATTCTGAAAAGGGAAAAGATCAATTATTTAGAAAAATATGAATGAAGTGTGCAGCTGCATACAAGCAGCTCCCACTGATAAAGACTAGACACCATTTTGACCCAAAAATTCAATTATCAATGACAAAATCCTGAAATATTATGAGAAAAACCAAAAAACCCCACATAATCACACACTCAGAAGCTCAATTCTTTCTCCATCAGTTTCAACCAATGTGTGGATGTGAACATTGACACAAATACAGATATTAGGGAAAATAAAACAGCTCTTCCCCTACTTTGCAGAGTTGAGGATGTTAATGGTATACAGTACTGTTATAACATGCTTACCTCTCACTACCATATCCTGGGTTCAATCCCTGGGTTAGACGTGAGAAGGGTGTTATATACGGTAAAGCGTCCCTACCAAACATCACAGGTACTCTGGCCTCCTCCTGTACTAACACTGGATAATGAAGAACAAATTCATCAAGAACAACGACGGAGTAAAGAAGTCACCGGTGTCCTGTTAAAGCAGTAAATTAAACTATTGGAAACAAAGATGATAAAAAATAAGATGCTAATAATATAGTAATAATAATACCTATAATAACAATAATAATAATACAGCAATAATAACTTACGGTATTTGGGAAAAAAGAAAAAATCACCAATCAAAATTTAATGACTAACACACTGATGGGGTTAAGCTCTGTACAGTACTGTGAAACACTAAAGATTATCTTAAAACAATAAGAGCTGCCATACTTAGCTTGGATTACTCCTACACTTCAGTCTGTTCATTTGACATGTAAACATAGCTGAAATGTCTGGTAAATTTCCTTGTTGACCTTGCACTCTAATTCTCTCTACATGACAGGAGCTTCTAATATACAGAGCATTTCTATCATAAATCTAAATAATCTTCAAATTAAATTAAAGCAACACTTTCACATTAGATTCTAAAAATATGCATTCAAGAAATTTAAATTACTGTAGTTGAAAAATAATTTACACTACATGCACATTGTGATGGCAGACAATCAAGGCTCCCCCAACTGTGAAGGCTAAAGATATCAGTAATTTTTACGAGTGGGTGAACCCATAACTTTGACCCGAATTAAACTTGGCAATGTTAAGTTACAAGATGTAAGAGTGTTAGAACTAAAGAATTTTGCCGCTGAAAGTATATAAATAAACCAATCCACTTTTGTTTTTGGCACTGACCATAAGCTGATAGCTGATATCACAAAGATCACCACTTTATATTTAGAGCACCTCTGCACTCCAAGAGGAGGGGGGAGGAATACTCAGTTGCTGGCTCCCCAGTTCATATCCAACATGCCCTTAGGAAAAATCTGATCACCACTCCCAATTTCGTTCTTTCACTGTAGGGTGAAAGGTAGTGGATGAAATCGTCTTTATTAGTTGGCATATAGTAAACTGAATATTTTACACTCTGCTCTGTTCTCCAAATTATCGTGTCTAGGAATGGCAATTTGTTTTCCTTCTCTTCCTCCACTGTGAATTGGATATCACTGTTCACATTGTTCAACATTCCCCACTTGTTCCTCATGTCTGTTCCTCTTGGTACAATCACTAATACCTGTACATCATCCACATATCAATACCACTTGGCCCCTCTGCCCATAATCCTTGTGTAATTGTCTGCTTCCAGTATCTCCATGTAGAGACAAGCCATGACAGCACTGAGGGGGAAGCCCATGGCTAAGTCACTTTACTGCATATATTCTTCTATGTTGAAAATGAAAGCATCAAATCTAATACACAGTATCACAAGTCAGGTGAATTCCTCCCTAGGCACCAGCATCTCCTCGTTCCTGATGCTGCCCATAGCTTTCTCCACCACCTCTATGGCCCCTTCTACTGGCATGTTAGCAAACAGATTTAACATCAAAGCTTAACATTTTCTTGTTGTTAAAGTTAAAGACGTTAAGCGTGTCTATAAGGTCAATGTAATTTGTTAGGTGGGCACCACCGATGGTTTCTATTGCCTTAGATAAGGGTTTGGCTTGTCTTTTCCCTTTTTAAGGAACTTTCATGCCATGGGTTATCCTCTGAGAGTGTTGTATGAAAGAGAAGAATAATCTATTCTTTTAATTTATTCAGTTACTGTGTTTTATCCCAGTCACACAAGATGAGGACTAGGGGATTGATTTTTCAACCACTAGACTTGCTGCTGGTTCTGGAGTTCCTTAATTCTGATGTATGGTTATAAATCATAATTACAACGGTATTTACATGGCATCAGTTATAATAAGCTTGAGTAACTGTGTAATTTTGTGTATATAGACCATCAAGACCATTCACCTCATCATGCAATGCCAACCTTAAACCTGTCTGTGGTCATCTCAGCAAACCTCTACATATATCACATCACAAAAACCACAGTACTGTGCACTAGAACTGATCTCTCTGAATAAACACTTTTGCTAAGGTGTACTGTAAATTAAGCATGTGTTATCCGAGCCCTTTCCTGTCCCCTTCCTATGCTTGTCTTGCACTACTCTCCCTTACTAAGACAGTACCTGTACTTTATCTTTTGCGGTTTCTGTACCCCTTTATCCATCCCACACACAAGTTGGACAGGAAGAAATAGAATCAACAACTGTAAAAATTAATTATTCTGTCCTACCAAAGTGTACAGCTAGCTATAAGCCTTTGACACACAATGAAAACAAAATAAGTCTTGTCACTTACCATTTCCCAGATTATAGTCTTGAAGAACGGGTGACTAACTATATCTGTAAAGCCAGTTTCTGGGTGACACCCGAGTCGGTCAACTGGGTTTTTGTTGAGGAAGCCCTTGAGGATTGAGGCAGCTTTGACGGACAGTGACCGAGGGATACGGATGGGTCGCTCTAATATTACTGAAAATTAAGAAACATTTTTTTTAGATTGTAAGTCACAAATTCCTATACAAAAAATTCAATAAAATGAATCCAACTTGTAATTATTCTCAGCTTATAATCATAAACAAGTTGGCTGAATAATTAGAGATAAATATTGACACATGAACCTGACCATAAAAATTAGTCAAGAAACTCTATGGCTGGGTAAAGTATCTTGGTTCAAGGGGTGTGACATACATTAAATCAAACACTGACCTTTAATTCATAACCTGCAAAAGTTACTGAGGTCAAGAACTTACTAAAAGATAACAAGTATTACATAAGTGACCCTCACCTTTACCCATGATCTACAATAAAGAATCAAATCTAGTTTTTTATAGTTAGTTCCTGTGGTCACTAACAAAAGTCTTGTCGCCTCTTCTGCTGCTCCACGAACCCCGAGATTCAAACTCGTGAATCTGAAGCATTTATGGACAGAATAATGCATCAGTGTCTACTGCTTCAGGTTTTGGGATTCATGGAACAGCAGAAGAGGCAATAGGACTTTTGTTTGTGACTGTATACTCGCTCCAAAAAGTATCTTTACGAAGGGGTTTGATGAATTTCAAATTGAACACCAAGACTTCTGTTGTCTAGGAAGGGTTGTCGAAATCCTTCATCCTTTGTGTCATATTGCCTCACATAAAATCATAAAGACACCATTTGGAGCAAGTGTTCATCCATCTATTCTACTTTGGGTACCTTAAACAGACACTTTTGTTGCAGTAACCGTGTGGTCTTGACCTATGGGAGACTGGGAAGTATGGAGGAGCTTCCATTCACTTACTCACCTTGAAAGAGGAAGTCTTCAGTGTTACAATCTGGGTTGTCAGATGCCCCAACAATATCAAAGGGACTTTTGCCTGCTAACATCTCATAAAGTAGAACTCCTAATGCCCACCAGTCAACGCTGTATAAGAAAGAAAAATTACATGTACCTCAAAATCTTTTCTAACCCCTTGTAGCTTGTGTATGGGGTCGCTTCTGAGCTGAATAAAGTTGTCTGCTGCTAGCCAAAAAAAATATTGAAAGTGGCATCTCCATAGTGATGAGGTCAACTTGGCTTCAATTGTTTTGTTTTTACTATGAAGATATTATGAGTAAAAGACCATTTTTATACATAATATCTTAACCAATTCTGTCTTATTTTTCTAATTGAAATGCAATGATATAATTTCCCATCGTAATAAAGAATATTGATTTTTGAAGATCTTGCAGTGTTGGATTGATTACAAGTGTCCATCAAATCTGAAATTATCTACAAATGACTCACTCTATTATAAACATGTCCAGTATTGTAATCTGAAGGGTCTAAATCAATCCAAATGTAAAGGAAATTAATATCCCTTTTAATTCTGAAACTACAACCAAAATATCCCACCTTTACAGAGATAAAAACATCACCAGTCACGGAAAAAAGTCTTATCAATCCTCCATTCCATTCATGAACCCGAAGTCATGAACCTGTGAATCCAAGACATTACACAGTACACCATCGATGAATCCAACAATGGATTCACTGGTTCATGAGTCATGGTTGAGAAAGAGGACTAACAGGATTTATTTCTATGGCTGTACATGAAGTGTCCTCACCTAAAGCTATATTCTACACCTTGTAAAATCTCTGGTGCGATGTAGTTTGGTGTCCCGCAGAAGGTAGAGGTAGTGTCGCCTGGACGGATGCCTTCTTTGCACATACCATAATCGGTTAGTTTAATGTGCCCCTCGTGGTCAAGTAAGACGTTATCCAATTTAAGATCACGGTAAATAATGCCTGTAAGAGTAGAAAGGAAATATATTTTTTTCTAGATTAAGCTTTGACTTTTCACAAGTATTCTGGCACATTAAAAACTTTCAAAAAATTTACAGATTAAGTTTTGAATCTTCACTGGTATTCTGGTACAGTACTGTATATGAAAAACTTAAAAATGCTAAACTAAGGGAGATATTAAACATAAGTAAAGTACTAATAAATCATGATATAAATTATAGAACAATAATTTTTGTTTTTTATAGCTAAAGTTTAACGAAATGGTTGAAACAGGATTACTTAATGTAGTGATTCACTGATTAGCGACTCACCTTTTTCATGCAGGAAGTTAAGCGCTAAGCAGATCTCAGCAGCATAAAATCTAGCGTGCTCCTCGGGCAGGCGACGCTGCCTTTGCATGTGGAACATAAGGTCACCTCCTCGAACAAATTCAATTACAAAGAAGAGTCGGGACGGAGTCTGGAAGCACGAGTGTAGACCAACCAAGAACGGGTGGTTGGAGGCCGTCTCAAACACGTGCTTTTCTGTCTGGACCCAATCTATGTCCTGGAAGAAAATGTCACCATTAAACATATAAAACACTGTGAAGGATGTTCGATAATGAATCACTAAAACATTAAAAACTGCTATAAACACACATAATATAGTACAGGTATCAATCAATAATGAAATATCCCATAGGAGTAGAGCACACAACACTAACTATGTGAGTAACTATGTACGGTATACTGCATTACAGTATGTATACCTGGTATGTTGTGCTCAAAGATCAAATTTGGTCACCGGGCAAAAAAACTACCACAATGCTTTCTGGGCACAATAATATTACCAGAAAGGGAAATTCGCATTGTTAGATTAGGTTGGTTCAGATCGCGTTCTGGTAACATAACTATTACCCATCGCATTGTGGACAAGAACTTGGCACCTACAAATTAATGCTACAGTAATTATTTTGTGTTCTGTAATGTTAAGACCTCCCATAACACATTGTGGCTGTTTTGGAGGAGTCCACAACGTGAATTTCCCTTTCTGGTCTTAATATCGTGCCCAGTACGCATTGTGGTAGTTTTTTCACTCAGAGAGAGAATTCGGTCTTTGAGTCAAACATATATAAATACTTTTAATGGAAGCAACATGTCTTACTAATACTGTAATAATTCAAAATAATCCATAAATAACCCAAAGTTGTAAATACAGAGCCTTACATAATTGCAAGGCTTTACACAAATTACATTCCTCATAACCCAGTAAACATGTCGTACAAAGGCAGGAAAGAAGTGTGAGTACAGTATAAACAAGCTCACTCAAATTAGAAAAGCCTCCCCTTACCCTGAGTCACGTGTGGCTATACTGTAATGAAACTTCCATTTTCATATTCCAAGTTGAATTTGACTGGTGAATGGTGACCGACCAGAAATTAACCGAGTCACCACATTCGGATTTATTTTGGTTTTATTTGTCCTAATCAACAGAAACATGCGAGCAAATAAAGAAAAAAATTATCCTGAACCAACTAACTATAAAGAAAGAAAGGTAAAATGTCACAATACTACAGTCCCTTCACAGAACACACTCTGCAGTACATGAATGATCTGATTTATCTACCCATACATAATCCTGTAAAATGGTCTCTCCTATGGTGAAGTTTCAAACAGGACTAATAGATTTTGTACAAGAACTATCATCATCGTCATCGTCATCATCATCATCATCATCATCATCATTAGAGTTTTATGGTCATTTTCTACACTTGTATGGGTTAGCAGACTATCTAGAGTCGACAGAGGACTTGGGTCAACAGAGATATACCATAAATAAAGTAGAACATTAGCAAAGATTCGTTCCCAAGAATTAATAGTTACTGCTTACACTAAGAATGTCAGCTAGCACAACTATTAATGAGAATGGACAGAGGAATAAACCAGTAAAACCAGAAGTTAATATTCATGAAGAAATAAGACACCTGACGTCCGGAACATAAACACCGTACAGTACCTCATCATCAGTGACGAGCGTTTTCTTGATGACCTTCATGGCGTAGATCCTCTTAGTTTTCTTCAGCTCGACCATCAACACCTTGGCGTAAGATCCCCGGCCAATAACACGGATGAGCTCAAAGTCGTCCAAGCAGTACTGTCCTGCCTGGCCGGCGGGAGACATGGGTTCACTACGACTCCCTGGAACACATCGTCAATTAGTGCTAAAGTTACAATCAAATTAACACTATATAAAGAATAACTCTCAAACACTGTATACATGAGAGCTGCTAAGGATAAGGGAGTGTAAATGTAAGCTAATGGATCTTTTGTGTACGAATCTATCCTAGGTTTTTTCATTTCCTTTATCAAGTATTGGGAAAAAAGTGAAAATATTTATAAGCATTACTGTCATTTCAAACCTACAATTTTTATCATCAGGGAGACCTAATATTATGTTATTCAAAACCTTCTCTATGGTAATATATGTTCTTATGTTCCAGTGTGAGAAAGAGTCCACAATGTAAAGAGATGAGAGTACAGTTTCCATCAAAAGATTAGTAATATCCTCTAAAACTGTGGTCTTGGGGGGAAAAAATTATCATCACTTTCTTAGATTTTGAAGTTAATAAAATAGAGACTAATACAATAAGCAGGAATGTATGGTATTGTAGGTATTGCAATGAGAGTAAACCAACAGCAGAAATAGTTTTATGTATGGTATTAGGAAAACTCTTACTGGTAACTCCCTACCTAACTCAACCACCTAATTAACTATGCGAAAAAAAAGGAAAAAGGTAATTATGTAACCTATGCTATACACTACTGTACTTCATACCATTAAATTACTTTCTATTCTCACTTATTGTGGTTCTTCTCAGGGATAGGTAAAAAATCTTGGAGAAAAAGAATCTAATTAATTATGATAGCAGGAGAATAATAAAAGTTAATTACATGTGAGTATAATACAAGTTGTGACAGAAGAGTTAAAATTTACCATATGTTGTCAGATATTTTTCTTACCTGTGATAGTTGGCATTTCCACAGGTGTTTCTTCTGTTATCCCAGGGTCTGCAAAAGTCATATAACTTTAGTAATGAGTTGGTGAGAGTTACCTTTATAAACTCCAGAACCAACACTGGGAAATCGAGAATCCAATTAAGTTCTCACATTATTTCTCACCTGGAACACGTCACCCTGTCTTACACTCGCAGCAGGGAGGCTAATACAGTACAGCACACACAATAACTATACCTGCTATGGCTCCTGTCAACACAAAGTTATCTGATGAGAGGTTATCTTTGTTAGTTTAAAGACAATATTTGTGAAGAAGTTATTATGTATGGTACTGTACTGCCCTTAATTGGGACGAGAATCAAGTCTTAAATTTAATGGGGTTTACACTGGTTGAATTTCATAAGGGCATAACTTGTACATATAGTGTTTAAGAAATTATTCATACCTGTATATGATTTGTACAGTATCACATAAGTTCATTGGTCATTAGTTATTTACTTCAATAATAGTTTGTATTGTACTGTATAATAAAAGCCCCAAATGTTTTATTAGGCCAAGTGAGAGTTGCTACATACCCGAGATCTCCGCAAAGTCCTGCACGGCCATTCTGCCATTGGTGCCAGCCCTGGGGAGTGTCGAGTTGTCGTGAGATGCCAGAGTGTCAGTGGAAGTGTCCAGGTCTGCATTACATGGCACTTTCTGGAGCTTGTGGCACTTTTTGTGAACGAGGAGCTTGCATTGGGTGCACTTGAAGCCTTGCCGGCCAAGACCCCATATACGATCCTTGCAGAATTCGCAGAAGGCACGCTGAAAATATCCATTTACTGTCAGATGCTAGAAAATGAAACAGGATACACACAGACATACACATACACACACACACATCTTACTGTAACTATTGACAGCAAAAAAAAAAAAAAAGACAAATTCTGTATAATAATCAATCCATTATACTGTACTGTACTGATGCTTTTGTATATAACTGGATATTAAACATTATATCAAGTTATAACAAAACATTTTCTACATATGATAACCAAACTAACCAGGAGTCAACCCAACACAAGTGAAAGCAGACGTCTTAAACATAAACAGCAGCAAAATACCGTACCATAGACTCAACAGGAAAAACACTCACCCACCACAGCACTGTACTGAAATGTTCCCCATCCTACTGAGGCAAAGCTTATACCCCAGAAAAGAGGTAGAGAGAACGTACACAGAACCAACATCTATTTATACAGTCATCTATCTATTCCTTCCTGCAGGGATATAACCATGAGAGAGAGAGAGAGAGAGAGAGAGTCTAACCCCAACCCTCCCCCTTTTTAATTATCTTCCTCGACCCTGAGTATAAGGTCGAGACGAATCAATACACTGTACTGGGGATTGTTACAGTGAAGGGCAGTCTACAACCTGGCCAGACTCGGAAGACCACCATTCTCCTATGAACACATTTGAATCCAGTTTTAGTGGGAGCCTATCTAAACCAGTCTGCTAATGCCCTGGAGTCTATTTGATCAGCCACCTTATGCCCTGGAGTCTATTTGATCAGCCACCTTATGCCCTGGAGTCTATTTGATCAGCCACCTTATGCCCTGGAGTCTATTTGATCAGCCACCTTATGCCCTGGAGTCTATTTGATCAGCCACCTTATGCCCTGGAGTCTATTTGATCAGCCACCTTATGCCCTGGAGTATATTTGATCAGCCACCTTACACCCTACAGCTATACCTACACCACCATCTGCATTACTGACTACCTAATAACCTAATTCCTCCCATACAGAATAGTGAAGGTTTTGCATCAGCCAATTCCCTCCAATCTTTTAATAAACAGAGCAAAATCGCATCCATCTATGCTATGTGTTGCAATACTGTCCCACTCTCTACATGGTCCTCAAACTACACTGTTTCCTCCCCCCATTATACTGTCTCTATCTACACTGTGTCATTTCCTATACACTGTCCCCCCTCCTTACACTGTCTCCCTACCAAGAAAACACTAGTAAATGTTAATTAAATGTTTGGTGGATATTATTCATCAGATCTCTCTCTCTCTCTCTCTCTCTCTCTCTCATGCTCTGTGTGTGTGTGTAAGGCGGAACCAGTAGTTTATGAGCCTCTGCCAGGTCCGACTCACCCTCCCTGACTCACCCTGTTGAAGCGCTTGGCCTGGAAGATGTGCCCGTTGACCTTGTACAGCTTCCTCCATCGTCTTGCTCCCCGTCGATAGATACTCCCTGCAGGACCACCAAGAAAAATAACAACAATTATTATAGTAACAGTTTTCAAACACTCTACACAAGACGTATCATAATCAAGCACTAATGCACCACTAAAATTGGTTCTTTTGGTTAATTTATCAAGGTGAGTCACTTTAGTATATGAGAAACCAATGATATTCCAGAACTCATTATATCAATAGCCAATGATCTTTCAGGATTCACTCAGTATATCAGGAACCAATCATCTTCCAGAACTCAGTATATAACAGCCAATGATCTTCCAGGATTCACTTCGTATATGAGGAACTAATCATCTTTCAGCTATTAAGAGGGCTGTTAGGAATGTCAAACCTGGAGGAAGAGCTTAGTTGTTGAGTCAATATTAGCCAAAGTAAACAATAATATCCCTAATACACAGCCGATTCTTTATGACACAAACATGTAAACAATTCATGTGTGTTTGTGAGAGAGAGAGAGAGAGAGAGAGAGAGAGAGAGAGAGAGAGACGGTCATCTTATCTCACGGGACTGAAGTTAAGTTACCCAATAAATGGTTTCTTAAGTCGACACTCTATACCCGTGTCTCCAGGTTAGGTGAACACACTAAGACTAGCTTTCCCTAATTTATCATGGACGTCACATTATTCCCCTTCCATAGATCAACAAACGAACTGTAATAAGGTAGAAACAGGTATATAACAAGATAAAAATATGAATAGTGATACCCGAAGACAACTTAATAAAATCATCAAAAAATTCTTAATGCCTGTTAAAGTTTTACTGGTTATTTACAAACAATTTCCTTAACCTACCCCCCCCCCCCTTCCCTGCCCCTCTCACCTAGTTTAATTAAATGTTGGTACCGTAGCGTTATGACTTGGTTGGTACAGCAATGGTCTCCTGATATTGCTGCAGTCTCTACCAGGTCATCATTGAACAGTACCGTACAGGGTTAAAGCAGTAGGCCTCCTCCACACACCACCACAAGGATAAATGGAATTGAAACAAACTTCTACCAAGAAACTTATTAATATACTCTAACCTAACCTATACTTCACCACGATGACTGCCGTTTTTATTACCCGTATCGTCGTCAGGAAGGTCACCGGGGGAGAGCTGCAGACGGTGGAAGTACTGCAGGATGGAGCTTATGACGTAGTTTTTGTTGGGTGGTTGTGTGGGCGGCCAGAGGAGGTCCTGCGTCATCACAGAGGGGTCAGTGGGATTCCTCTCTCTACCTGTACCTCCCCAAGACAAGGGGCGGCGCCTTACCCTAACACCTTGTTCCTCCACCTTATTTAACGCGGGAGAGGGAGAGGTGTTAGCAGCTGCAGGGGACAAGACGGCCGCTCTCTTGTTAAGGTTCACGTCAAGGTCGGTGCAGGAGTTGGGTCGGAGGGGAGAGCGCCTCAATCGGGGGTGGTCACGTAATTTAGGTCTTTTTCCAGCAGCGGGCAACGGTACAGACGAGGCCACACTACCATCACCCACCACCACTGCCTCGTTACCAGGGCTGTGACTGCAGGAGGAAGGACCACCCAAGACCCTGGCGTCTATCCTTGACACTCCCTCACTAACACTGCTGTAGTCACACTGATCTGTACCTGTAGTGACTCCGGCATGTGGTGTAGGTGAGAAGGTTTGAGGAACAGGACTTAAACAGGCTGTCACTCTACTTCCTCTCTCTGCACCACTACAAGATTCCCCGTCGTCCTCACACTCACTCAATTCTTCACCGCCTCCATCACCCTCGCTCCTCGACGACGTGCGCTTCCTCCGAGACAACATAAGCAGTGACTTGGACAAACTCTTCCATCTTTCTCTCCTAACTTTCAGTGCGCTGTTTCCATACACGGGACTCGACTGGCGGGATGATAAAGGTTGAGGGGCGCGACTGTCTCCTGTTGTATAACTAATCTCTAAGGACTTCCGCCTGTGGACTTTGGCTTCCTTCAGGTCGCCGGGAGCAACACAGCCAAGGAAGAGAGCTGACAGCGGTCTGGTGTGTTTAGTGGTGGAGGTACTTCTTGGTGCAGGAGTGGGGGCGACATCTCCAGCCCTGTCCACCTGCAGCCCTCCATTGCCACTCACTGTTGACACACTCATAAAGTCACCGTTCATAACACAGTACTTCTCTCCTCCAGTGTACTAATTCATCAGTATCCACAGTCCCCCAAAAGGTAAGGTAGCAACTTCTTGGATTGTCTCACGTACACTGTTGACCAGAATGACACAGTACAGTACTCTCTTCGAAGACTTTATAGCACAAGAAGTGAATTTGTCGTTCAGTGCTGAGAGTGTCCGTTCATAACACCAAACAAAGATTTCCAAGTGTTTACAAGAATATTAATCTTCTACCACATCAAAATTAACTCAGTCGTCCCACGTTCACTACCTATACACACAGGTAACAGCAGCCAGGTAGAGCCATAACCCAAACACTGAACGTCTTCCTAAAGGCAGCGTGGTCACTTCTCAAGCAGACACTATACCAGCTACAGTTCAACACCACCTCCCCTCTACAGCTTCACCATGATAACTACCACACCACCACCCACCACTTCCTCAATGACATCTTCCCACCACCTTATCCATTGGTCTCTGTATCAGTTGAGTCAACCTTCATTATCTGATAACAGGTAAAGCCAACTGACACGACCAACTTAACAGCAGATAACTGTCTTATTGTTGGATCACGTAAACTACCACTTAAAGTCAAAACTACTCCACCAACTTCTAAACGAACCACCAATAGTCATAATAAATAGGAGTGGTATAAGATGACAAGATAGGAGCGTGATATAGAGGGTTTAGGGAGTGGCAGGATAGACATGATAAGTTACGTGGTGTGAGGGAAGAAAGTGTCATAATTACTCCAACAGGTGTGACTCACTGATAAAGAGACTGACAGTGTGACAGACAGAGACAGACATAAACCTGTGCACTACATATTGACAAAGTTAAAAGTTTCTAAACTCAAATTTCCCAGAACTGGTGTGAAGAAACGAGTTATAAGCCCCTGGTGACGTCAATATGTACAGTACAACAACAACAACAATTAATAACAACAACAATATAACAACTAATAAATAAAAAAAATACTACTACTACTAATAATAATAAAAATAAACCTAAAAACATCTAATAATATAAACAATTGCTCGGTAATCCAGTTGGCAGAGCGCTCGACTCGCAAAGGAACAGTCGTAGGTTCGATTCCCGACAGGAGAGGAACACTGCCCCATACCCCTCCACATACTCAGGTACACAAGAGCTCTCTTATATCTCCCAGTAGTGGTATAATCTTCACCACACACACACACAATAGTCCCCATAAAAGCACCTGCCGACAACTGAGGACCGCCCCCCTCCATCCCCCCTCCTCCCCCACACTCTCCCGAGGAAACAAGTGGCATAGTTTCTGGGGCAGCGGTGGAGGAGGAAGGAGAAGGAAGGAGGAGGAGGAGGAGGAGGAGGAGGAGGAGGAGGAGGAGGAAGGAGGAGGAGGAGGAGGAGGAGGAGGAGGAGGAGGAGGAGGAGGAGGAGGAGGAGGAGGAGGAGGAGGAGGAGGAGGAGGAGGATATTTTATAACGGGGAAGACACGGCCTCCTCACTCCACATGATGAGTATATGTTTACGCCATCTTGAAACCTAGAGGACCTTCTTTTTCCTCCACCGCAATCTCTCCTCCTCTTACATGCTTCTTGGTACAATCCCCCCTCCTCCCCCCCCCTCCTTCCCCCCCCCTTCGTTGCATTAGTTGTGGTTTATATGTATATGATTTTGCTTTGTTTTTCTGTTTTGTGTTTTTTGTTTTTGTTTTAGTTCTCTCGCCTTTTTTCTCTTTATATTTAATCTCTCTCTCTCTCTCTCTCTCTCTCTCTCCCTCATTTATTATTATTATCACACACACACACACACACAGATAGTGAACCATGGCTGCATGGAATTACCACCTCTATACAACGCCTTGGAAACACCCCCCGTCCCCTTACACACACACACACACACACACACACACACACACACACACACGGATATTGCAGGCCAGTCTAATAAACATAAACATCTGCAAAGAGGAGGTAGTGTGTGTGTGTGTGTGTGTGTGTGTAGCTGTAATAATATTCAGCTGTGTGTGTGTGTGTGTGTGATAGTATCTGATAAAGGTATAAAATACTGCTTTATCGTAATTTATAACAATGTATTTGCGAAAGCTATTATCATGCTTAACTTCACACACACACACACACACACACCTACCTCCCACCCAAAGTTATGCCTCTAATTAACTTACGAAGCAGCAGGATAGGCAAGTTGTAGCGTGGATAAGTGTGGTGAGGCGTGGATAGGCAAGTTGTAGCGTGGATAAGTGTGGTGAGGCGTGGATAAGTGTGGTGAGGCGTGGATAAGTGTAGTGAGGCGTGGATAAGTGTGGTGAGGCGTGGATAAACAATGGAATTATGACCCCCTAACGGTATATATAAAAAAGCTGATGCGGTAAAATAATAAGTGATATAACACCTGTGATATTCACCCCTTAGTTAGGAACACGAGTCTCTATCAAGGGAAAAACACAAAATTCTCGATAACGTGTGTTTTTTTTTTTAGGGTGGAGGGCGGTGGTGTTACGAGACCTAAGGGGGGGAGGGTGATGGTACTCTGGGATGGGGTGGTGAAGTGAGGTGTTGAGAGAGGGACATACAGTGACTACTCCCTCACTCCTTGTCTGGGTAATGTGTCATGGGTGATAGGAGTGGCAGCTACCTCCCTACCTCACCCCTCCTTCCCTACCTCACCCCTCCTTCCCTACCTCCCTACCTCACCCCTCCTTCCCTACCTCCCTACCCCCTCTACCCCTCCTTCCCTACCTCCCTACCTCACCCTCCTTCCCTACCCACCCTCACCCCTCCTTCCCCTACCTTCCCTACCTCACCCCTCCTTCCCTACCTCCCTACCTCACCCCTCCTTCCCTACCTCCCTACCTCACCCCTCCTTCCCTACCTCCCTACCTCCCTCTCTCCCTGACGTGTGTGTTATGGACAAGAGCGCTCAGTGTCTACCCTCCCTCCCGTTGACAAGGATATTACCCCACACGAACAGGGGAAAAGTCATAAGCTTCAACAGTACCATCACACGAGGGCAGGGGAAAACAGTCCAGTCAAATGGGGGGGAAATTGTTTCATGGTGGCACAGGGGGAAAATATCACAGTTTGGTAAGGAAAAAATTCATTTTCGCCAAATTTCCACTAAATATAGAATAGTTTAAATCAAATGGAGTATTAAGGGAGTAGAATTAGGTAATGTTTAATGTGTAATGAGAAGTGAACAGCCGGAGGAAGTGTCAGGGAAGTAGGAGGAGGTGTACTTACGGTCCTCTCCCTGGCAGGCCATCCCGGGCTCCGGTACGTTGGGGAACACTGTGGGCGAAGAAGAACATAGTTAGTACTGTACTGTTTACACCTGTACTCACCTGGTGTTGGGGGTCACACCTCTATACCCACACCTCTACACCCTCACACACCACAATACAACCTCACACACACACACACACACACACACACACACACACACACACACCTACTCAATATGCAGATTCCTGTCACCCGACGCGACACCTGCCGACATCTCAGGTCACACCAGGAAGTAGGGTGAGAACTCTAAGGATGAAGAGGAGGGGGAGGAGGGGGAGGTGGGGAAGGGAGGAGGTGGGGGAAGGGGAGAATAGGAGTAGGCAGGAACCCAGTGACAAAAAATGGAGGAAGGAAAGATAGTACACATAAAATAAGGAAGGGGAGACAGAAGGGAGAAAGGGACAGGTTACACACACACACACACACACACACACACACACACACACACACACAGGTAATGATAGATACATTAATTCCTCGTCGTCGCCTCCGTCACCCTACCTAAACCTTCGTCACCGCCTCCGCCAGCCATCCCCAAGACCTCTCCCTCCTTCAGCCAATATCAACCTCGACAACTCCAATAAAAAAATGAAGTAAGAGTAACCTTATTGGAAACACGACGCAACTGCTGTGGTTTGTATTTCTGCACGGGTGGGCGGCTGGCTGGCTCGAACACCAAGCATACCGCAGTGAGTGAGTTACGACGTGAAATTATGAGGAACGAAGGAAGGAAAGAGGGAGGGAGGAAGGATAAAGAAGGAAGAAGGAAAGATTAAACGAGGGATACAACAAGGATTAAGGATTAAGCTGGACTCAAGCTTATGACCCACACAAATTGCATCCCATTAGAATGAACACACACACACACACACACACACACACACACACTATATAGAAGGAGAATAGCGCAGTGTTTTATCATCGACCGTAATAAAGGTAGTTGGTTGGTGTTGACGTTACATAAATGGTGCCAATTGCCCCTGCCATGATGTATTAGATGATAGAGACGGGACGAGACGAGAGACGAAAACATCAATAAACCTCAACATTATGGACACCTGATCAATGACGTGAGGCCCCTGTGTGTTTGGTCCGGCACACCTGTATTCACTAATTATGATCACCGACTGCGGCCACCCCAACACAAGGTCACTTTAATTACCTGACTCATATCACACAAACTAATGCTCAGTCAAAAAATATATGATTTTCGTATTATTATTATTATTATTATTATTATTATTATTATTATTATTATTATTTCTCACCACCGCCACTACTACTACTAATAATAATCACACACACATACACGCACGCAAACACTATATATATATATATATATATATATATATATATATATATATATATATATATATATATATATATATATATATATATATATATATATATATATATATATATATATATATATATATATATATATCTCGAAGAGGAGAACCAGGGTAAACACAAACATCTTGACCATGTGGGCTTGGACACTGAACTAAAATACATAAATGAACTACTCTTTAACAATGGTTTCCCTGAGAGATTTACAGACACTTATATTGGCAAAACCCTTAATAGGTTTTTTAGTCCCACACAGCCTCAAATCCACAGTCCCTAAATATTCTATCTATTTCACCATACCGTACACTGGCGCACTCAGTTTCCCCTTAGAAATAAACTTAAGAAGCTTTTCAATGAATTCTATCCACAAATTTCTCTTAGACTAATCTTTAAAACCAAGAGTCCGATCAAAAAATTCTTTAAAATTAAAGGCACCATACCCACACACCTGCAATCCTCAGTTGTTTATCAATTTACGTGTGCTAGCTGTAGGGCAGCATATATAGGTCAAACTAAAAGACATTTGACAACTCGCATCCATGAACACTTGGGCCGTTCCGTCCAAACAGGCCAGTTTATCGCACAACCACCACATTCAGCTATTCGTAACCACGCCCACCAACATGACCACCCGTTTTCGCCGTCAGATTTCTCAGTTCTTGGCAGGAGCGACTGTGATACAGACCTCGTCATTATGGAGCCATTACACCAGTATAAAGCAAAGCCATCCCTTTGTGTTTTTCTCACCAAGGCTCGTCTGAATTAAGGTAATACCCCCCCTGTATACTTTATTTCATACTTTTTATTCCTGACTTTAGCTTTGTATGTAGGTCTCTCGTCATTTTTGTCGGTTTTGAATTGGATTGCTCTTTTTTAAATTTTTAAAGTTTATCGAAGGTAAATTTTCGTATAATATTATTTTTATTGTATATCACCTGCATTTTTTTTAAACTTTTTCAAAACTTTTGTGTTTTTAGGCTCTGATGATGGAAAACAATTATTTCCGAAACGTTAGCGATTAAAAGAAGCCCACATGGTCAAGATGTTTGTGTTTACCCTGGTTCTCCTCTTTGTTATAAAAATACGCTTTCCACGTAACAAGTCTATTGCTGAAGTTATATATATATATATATATATATATATATATATATATATATATATATATATATATATATATATATATATATATATATATATATATATATATATATATATATATATATATATATATATAATGGTTGTCCCTCGTGTAACGAGGATGGCCGGCACAAGGACCAACCACCTAGGCGTGAATTTGTTTAAGGTGTAGAAACTGTCGCCAACACAATAACTACACCCTGAGTTAACTGCATGACCCAGTGTCAAGGAATAGTCCGAGAAGACCGGACAACTCGCCAACTGCACTGGCTAACCATTACCCCGGAACACGATCCACAAATCGATAAACATCCAGGTCCCCAATTACTGCTGGGTAGACAGAGGCAAATGGCGTAAAGAAACTTGGCATAGTTTCACCCTGCACAGCCAAGCCCCACACTCTCGTCTGGTAGGATTACAATCTAGGTCAAGTGGAGGATCTCAACTCAACTTCTCTCCAAACACAAAACTTTCCCTAGTGTTTTCTCACCTTAATCTTACTACATCCAACACAACCTAAACCTTGCCTCTCCCACGTCCCCCTCCCTCCCCTCCCTCCTCGTCTTCCCCTTCCTTCTTTTTCTTCTATTCCACCTCTTACACATCATGTCCTCATTTCCCTTTCCTTTATCCCCATCAATCTCTACTTATTACACCCTCTTCCTCTATCCTCCCGTCTCTTCTTCCCACCTCCTCTTACCCTTTCCCCTCGACCCCATAACATCCCATTCCGTCTATTCCACCTGCCCTTTCCACATCACCCCCCTCCTAAACGTCTTCGTCTCGTGTTGGTACCCGCCTCTATCATCACCCGCCTCTATCATCACCCGCCTCTATCATCACCCACCTCTATCATCACCCGCCTCTATCATCACCCGCCTCTATCATCACCCGCTCTCATCACCCGCCCCTCTATCATCACCCGCCTCTATCATCACCCGCCTCTATCATCACCCGCCTCTATGCTTCTCGCCGCCGGGAAAGTTTTACAAATGCCACCTCGCTCACAGCACTTTAACACGCAGGAGTGGTGGTAAGGGGTGGTATTGGTGATGGTGGTAGTGGTGGTGACAAGAGTAATAACAGAGAGAGAGAGAGAGAGAGAGCACAAGTGGACAATAACCCAGACATTACCATCATTATAACTTGACTAATATATATGTTTTACGGTAGCAATATTCCCTCTATTTAACGGACTATTTAAAGATGAGAGTCCGTTATATCGAGGGTCTGTTAAGATATGAAAACCCCATCTAACGGATTATAGAGCAAATTCCGTTATAGGGAGGTTTCACGGTACCAATAATCCCGTCTAGACTTGGCCAATAATGTCATGAAAATACAAACTTTCCTATATGCAGTAAAATTTGATGAGTTGAGGCGAGATAGTGCTAAGGGTCAATCTGTGCTGGCATCGCGTGTTAGTGGACAAGACTCTGGTATGTACAGATAAAACGTGGGGTTGTGGGTGGGGAGTGTGTGAGTGAGTGAGGTGGTGTTTATAATTTATACAGCCTTAACAACATCAACCTAGAAGTCGACGCCCGGACCTACGGCCTAGAAACAGTGCGTTAATGTTCGAAATAAGGCAAACAGAGTATTGGGTTTTATATCTAGAAGTGTAAGTAACAAGAGTGCAGAGGTCTTATTGCAACTATATCTTTCGTAGTCAGGCCGCACCTCGATTATGCGGTTCAGTTCTGGTGCCATTTTTATAGAATGGATATCAATTCACTAGAGTCGGTGCAGCGAAGAATGACGAAAATGATTCCAGGACTTAGAAACCTTCCATATCAAGATAGGTTAAAGAAACTAAACTTGCATTCCCTAGAAAGACAAAGAGTGCGGGAGATATGATAGAAGTATTTAAGTGGGTGAAAGGAATCAATAAAGGAGATATAGATAAAGTTCTTATAATATCCGAGCAGGATAGGACTCAGCAACGGATTAAGTTGGATAAGTTTGGGTTTAGGAGGGAGATAGGAAGAAACTGGTTCACAAATAGGGTGGTGGACGAGTGGAACAAGCTTAGCAACTTTGTAGTAAGTGCTGGAACGCTGGAAAGTTTCAAAAGGAGGCTGGATAGATTCATGGATGATAGAGAGTGGTAGTAACTCTCAACAGGAGCTGCCATGCACAGGCCAACCTCCTATTACAGACTCCTTATTTTCTAATGTGTGTGGGTGCGTGTAGGGTGTGACATATATGTGGGTGGTGTTATTGTGGGAGGTGTGGGTGTGTGGGAGGAGGACGAAGGGTGACGCGTGAAAATGAGGAGCGCATTGCAGGTGAAGGGTAAGAGGTCCACCTGCCCCCAGCCAGCCAGTCTCCGCCACAATTAAGATGTTGCCAGACCACTTAATGATGTAAGACACCAGCATCACCCCCTCGGCCCCTCCTTCCCCCTCCGACCCCTCCCCAAAACAATAAGTGGCGATGTGACGGTGGTGTAGGACGGAGGGGGTGTGACGATAGTGTGTGTGACGATGGTATGTGATGGAATGTATAACGGTGGTGTG